AACACTTTGTTATAACTCGATGTAAAAAAAAAGCTAAGTTAAAAAAAAAAAATTTAGGAGTGATTAAATCTTTAAAAGACGTGATATAATATAGAAATTAAGTAAAATGCCATTTTAGAATATTACAAATACCTATGATGACAAATAAGATCAATTGTAATGTTAAATACTTAGTCAACATATTATGTTTAACTATTTGGCGGGACGTAGAAGTATACTTAATTAAATACAATTAAGTAACCATCACAGTATTTACAGTATAATTAATAATGTATCAACAATATGCTGACTAAGTATTTAACATTACAATTGATCTTATTTGTCATCATAGGTATTTTTAATATTATAAAATGGCATTTTACTTAATTTCTATATTATATCACGTCTTTTAAAGATTTATTCATTCCTAATTTTTTTTTTAACTTAGCTTTTTTTACACGGAATTATAACGAAGTGTTTTTGGTGTGATAAGTAATAACTGAACACCGTATAATATCTGGTACGTCGTTATAAAAATGCATTGTAACAAACGGTTATGCTAGGATACCGTTTAACTGGGTAGTATAATAAAAACCCTAAATAGTAAATACCCAAAAAACTCTAGTAAATTATATTCTTTATTTCTTTACCATAAATTATTTATTAATATAATTAGTCAATTATCTATATAATACAAATGATGAATATTATAAATAATAAAATTGAATCATTGAATAAAATGCTAAAATGCAAATTTATTTATAAACAGTAAATCAGTATCAAAAGGTAGTTCTAATATTGGGAAGATAATAAGTTTTGATAATTTTTGAGTGGTTTAAAAATCTTAGTTTTTGAAACTACGGTTTTAAAATATAACTAAAAATACTCAAAAAAGTAAATTGTTCAGAAAAAACTGTAATGTTATTAAAGCATACAAATTATAAAAAGGAATCAAGCATGCTTGCAGGTGCATCATACTTACCTACGATTTTGTTTGTTTTATTTAATATAAATAATTAGATACCTACCTAGTATTTTTTATTTAAGCTATAGGAAGATATAGTGTAATACAAACATACCTACACCAATTTAGTTATTTATATTGTATGTTGTCAAACATAATCATTTTTCATTTATGTATTCAATATTTGAATAGTAAATATCTTATAGCCGATATTATTTTGGGCAAAGATGCAATCATGATATATTCAAATTCCAAGATCGTATTCCTTTTTATTAAATATTTATAACCTGTGTTACTGTTAAAACCGTAAGAACTATTCGTAATAAATAAATACATTTATTTCAAACCCAGGTTATAAACATTAAGGGTTTATTTCGTAAAATAATAAAAATAAAATAACTGTTGTTGTAAAAATAATTTAGTTGATTTGAAACATATTCAAACAAAACTTATTTTCTTTCAAACAATTTAAGATACATATTAAAATATATTCTTATTTTAATTTTTAATATCCATATTATTGTTATCTTTTCGTATACGTAAATAATGTGTTCGCCACAGTCCGCAATTTCTTTTATAAACTGTCACACACACTAATGATCACTTACTACGCAGTACGCACACATTTACAAGAATTGAAGAATCGTATGCAAATAGTTTGAAAATTGCCTATTTCGAACTCCTTAAAAACTGTTCGTAACCGATCCCCTTAAGACAAATATTAAGTATTCTTATTTTAATAAACATATTATTTTTTTCTTTTCGTATACGTAAATAATGTGCTTTTTCTCCCACTACCAAATAATTTTTGCTCTGTAATGAAAAAACTAAAAATATAATACAAGGTTCCTCATAAGTATTTATTAGATTATATCTTTTGAAATTCATATTCTATTACGACATTGAATATTCACTCGTAAAATAACTATTTCCTCAAACGGTTTTTAATATTATTTGTTTTAATTGAAAAACGAATAACCATAAATAAATGATAATTTCATCAAATATTTATACTATCATTTTTATGGTATAATTTTTTTGACTTATTTTGGCCTATATAATAATATTATAGACATTTGACATTTTCGATTTATTTTTTTTCTATTAATGTCGATAAAAATACATAGAACATTTAATACAAGGTTCCTTATAACTTATAAGTAGGTAATTAATACTCAAACCAAAAGCTATAAAAATATGTTTGAACAATTCGTTTGAATATCTTAACATTTTTTATAGACATATTAAAATTTAAACGAAAATACATAGGTAGGTAACTATTTAAGCAAATAATTTTTTCGACATTGGATACTTGGCCATAAATTAACGATTTTTTCATTTTATTGTTATTAAAAAACGAAATTGACTTGAAACTAAACTAGAAATGTTCACTAAATGTTTTTTTTATCGTTTCCAATACATAATACAATTGTCAAAATGGCTTTTTTTGAGCTATCTATACGTATAGCCCATCATATATAGCCCTGAGACATTTTCGATTTTTTTCAATTATTGTCAATAACTAATTTTGTTCTCAATCAAAAGGCTTGAAAAAATGAATTCAAACTGCTGTATTACCAAACAGGTGTCTTGCTTCTGTGCAACTACTTACTGCATCTACAATAATGAAACTCAGTCGAAGTGCATGGCACCAAGCCAACAAACATACACAGAACATGGATTGAGTTCTTAAACTATTGCTTGTCATCCCTTTCGACATTCGACAGAGTGACTGACTCCGTAATACTTATGTATATTTTCACGTCTGTACCAGAAATATTTGGTGCACACTTTATACCTATATAGTATTTATATGATCACGATTAATTAGATAAAAATGCACAGCCGTAATTAGCTAATAGTGATTTGTGACATTATATGCTCTTGGATGGACACAGGTCTCTGGTTATTGGGAATGTACGATAACCATTTTATTTATTTGTATACTACTAAGTAAATATCAGCTAAAATGATAGTGCTTTGAACAGCTATAGCCCTATATTTGATGTTGTCATTTACAATTTTCAGCATACAGTTAATTTATAGAGATACAGTTAAATTGAATTACCAATCACCCAACCATCCACTCATCCTTTATACATGGGTTCAGTGCCACTGATTATGTATTTGAATTTACAGTTTAAAAACCAAGTGTAAGACTTATCTTCATATTATATCATTTCAATCATTAAAATGGAAAAAAAATAACTATTGGCTCAGGGAATTCTTTATTTATCAATAGATTAATATAGAAAACCCGTAAACTTTGTACTAAAACCGATTTTGTTAAATATCAATATACCGTAAATAACTCCATTTGTTTCGTACTTCTTCTTCATATTTAATGAAACAAATGTAATGAGGAAATAAAATGAATCTTTTTAAGTAGTCAGTAATATTTTCAATCGATGATTGTATACAACCTTCAAAGTACCAATACTCGTTTTATCTATTAGGAAAAAATAATTTAACAGAAAAATACAACAATAAAAACATGGTAACAATTAACAATAAAAGTAAAATTTGAATAATATCCTACATAGGATACTTATACTTTAGGTCTTAATATTGTAGGATCCAAAAGATAAAACTTTTAAAATTTTGAGTAATATAAATTAATAATTTTCAATATTTTTCAAAAATAATCTCAAGAGAAATAATCATTGAAGATTTAAGATTATAGTATGATTGACAAATGAATTTCAACAAAAATAATCAAAATATTTTTGGATAAAAAAATAAAATTATTTGTGAATTGTGAATATCATATTAGTAATATACAGTGATTATAACTATTCAAATGCATAATAATAAAATGGTACATATTTTATCGTGTGATTCGATATTATCTGCACGTATTTGAAATTTGAATCATTGCGATAAATATATGCCTATATAGTTAAATGTGTCTGGGTCTACTATTTACACCTACTATTTAGCGTTTGAAAATGAAATGCACTATATAACATTATCTTCCAAACCATAGTAAAAATATGCAATATCACTCTATTTTTATTTATAAAATAAAGCAATATATGTTGGATAAAATTGAGTGATCAGATCTGTTAGTTATCTAAATAATATTATATTATAAATATAGGTAAAATAAAACGAACTCAGTTTATGTACGAACTCAGGTCAATTATACACAATATATATATTTATTTTAATATTAAAAAATAATTTATACATTTATAATAATAATATATATAGGTATGTCTTATTGTTCAAATAAATATTGAATCAAATTACATCATAATTTATAATATACATTTTTCCTACATACAAATGCCTAAATGACTAGGTACATTTAAATATTGTACACCTAACTTTAGTAAACTAGCCCTCCTAGTCATTCAAAAACTTCAATATACACAAATCTAATAAATTAGTGGAAAGTTCAACAATTTGTATTTATACTACAATAATTAATTTAAAATAATCCACATCGAAAATAGTTTTCATTACCACAACTTCAAACAAATAATTATATGCACCAATGTTTATGAAATAAGAAAGTATATAACAATAATATTATAATATAAGTATCTAGTGCATGAAAACATATTTCATTAAATTTGTCAAATAATTGAAATTATTATAATAAGATAAACAATTCATAATATTTGTAAATTTTGTACGTTGTAGGTTTGATGAAATAAATAATGTGTGTACCTGGTCATTATTATATTTGTAATAAATAATAATAATAATAATAATCTAAACGTACTACTCGTGAGTATGTTTATACATTTGTCTAGAAAATATAATTAAAAAAATATATTTATAGTTTTTATGAATGTTTTCCGTCTAATAATACCATTAATTGTATTACTTAGGTACTAATTTTACTAAACTATTTGAAAATAAAATGTAATTAAAAGTATAATTCAGATAGTCATATGTTAATATAACGTATACATCGTATTAAAAACTTAACTTTGTGATTAAAAAGCTGATAACTATGGTACCATATTATTACTATCAAATATTGCTTTCTACTAAGTATTAGGTATTTGTGTATAATGCCATAATGCCATAATGCCATAATGTCTATCTATTTCTGTATAACCCACAAGTCTTTTTTTATTTTTCCTAATACGATTAATACAAGTATTAATAAAATATTGTACAAAACCGTCAATGAAGTCTCCGTTATGATTGATGGATGATCCAATGTCCACCCTTTTATTGCTATGTTGTTCATTATATTTCCTACTAGCCTTATAGGAAGTAGCTTGGATACTTGTCTTAATAATTGGGGCTGTCCTTCCAAAGGCCATATTGAACCTAAGTGTAACATTACATAACATACTTTGTTTTTGTCGCTATACAAATAATAAAAGTAATATAACTGTAACTTATAGATAGGTATATAGGTACACACAACATGTTATTAATTTATTAATAACTTGCTTAGGTACTTAAAATTTCTAAAATAAAAATTTTATATTCTATCTATGTGATGTATTTGATTTTGACACGAGTAGTATTTTTACCTGATAATAAGAACTGTGTCATAGATGACCCGGTTATAATGTACACAGCGAATAATTTTGTAGTTGATAATACAGCAGTAAGTAAACCTAAAACCAAAATATTATAAATTGTTATATAATTTGTGTTATAGTTAACTACAACTATAATATGGATCAAATTGTATTATTAAAACGCAATAATTAACTTCACTAATTTATGAAAGTATAAAATATAAGAACATAAAATATATCTATTATTAAATACTAACCAAATAAGAAGCCTAACCATCCCATTAGTAGTAATAATAACGCATAGACAAACATCCCATTGGTTATTTGTATAGGATTCAAAAATAAAATATATGAAATAAAACAGGAGAAACTCATTTGAAACAAAAGTAACACTGTTGTGATACACAACATGGAAATTATCAATTCCAATATTTTGACACCTGAAACAAATATAGCATATTGTTTATATTTAAACATATACAATTTTTGGTGTAAAATATTTTTTGTTAAAATACCTGCAAACATCGATCGGCTAAGGAGTCCATCCATTTTTTCCGCCATCATTACGCTTACCACAAATACACTCGGGCAATAAAATGCTATCCTGAAAATAAACAAATTAATCATTGATCCGCATTGCATATAAAACTATTTTCATTACAAAGTATAAAATAAATGGTAAATTACTCGACTATAAGTCTATAAACAATAAGCTAATTAAATCTTTATTGTTTATTCATATCTATGAACGATTTAATATAATCTAACTTTAACATATTATTATGATTTATGAGTATGTAAAGTTGTATTCACTAATAAACGAACATATTGTACAACAATGTATTATAAAATTAATTAAGTATAGTATATATTTTAATGATAATAATGATTAATGGTTTCCCTATACTCTATAGCATAGGCCATAGGGAATATATATTATATATAATTGATTGAATCGTATCTGCATTTTCAAAACATATCTTAATAATTATTAAAATACTTATAAACTTTATATTTTGTAATTTAAAATAATGTATATTGTTAGGTAAGCATAAAACAAAATAATTACATGGCTATAAAAAGAGCAATGGTACTATTGGCAAATGATTTTATTTCTTCTCCAACTACATTATTGATCTCCTACAACAACAAAAATAAATTCATTATTAAACACAAAATTAAACAAGGTAATTAGTGCAAACTTAACAATATAATTTTCTTCATAAAATATACAAGAAACATGGATTGAAAAAAAAACTATGTGTTGGATATTATAATTAAAAAAAATTAAACAATAGGTATAAATAATAACTACATTATGTATGTATATATTATGTTTATGTCAAATAAAATTAAAATTCTTAGTTGAATTAATAGTAAGTATATAACTTTTAACTTAAAAATGGACTGATTTTTCTCCTTTTTTTTAAAATATATGTTCGTATTATTCCAAATGAGAATTTTACGGAAAAAATTTAAAAAATTTGGGAAAAATTGAAAGGCCTCTTACTATGCGGTTTGCTTAAATAAGCGGTTGCCATTGGTTGCATAATATAATAATAATATTGTAATAGTAGAAATTAGTATTTTTTTTATTCTGTATAAATGGTTGCCACAGGTAACAATGTAGGTAACATATAATATAATTGATCTTGAATCGCGTTAGTTTATCCGAAGTTAGTAGACTCAAAAACTTCTTGACCGTTTTCAATAAAAAGTTATACCTATGTCCTATAAGACTCCTTGAGATTTAGAGTGTGTTTATAGTTTATTTTTTCAATCCTTATACCTAGGTAGCTAAAAGGGACTTCATACATTCATTTTTTTTGTTTATTTATATAGTTATCATTATTTGTTTACATATTATATTTAGTAGATATATTCAATATTTTAGAAAAATATTTATAAGAAAAAAAAGGTGGACAAGTGGGTGTCGCTCTGCTGAACAGTAGGTTACAAGTGGGTCACTGTATAATGGATGATATTAAATTTGAATTCGACGCTATAATATCATTGTATAAGAAAAACGATTCTGAGCGGAGACGGTATGTCAGTCTAGGTATAAGACATATTATATACTTATCTATGGTATTAAAAAAAAAATTGACCTATAATAGGTACCTATAATAAATTCCAAATTAATCATATCACAATACCCATTAGGTACTTATAACGCGTTAAACATAAAAAAAAACCGTGATACTATCATAGATATATAATAGTACACTTTAAAAGTTTCAAGTACCCACGAATAATATTATTCAATCACAACAAAATAACTAAAATAGTTATTCTAGGTTTTTTATTATGTAATTTCGTCCAAATTTTAACTTAAATGGCTATAAAAATAATCTTTGCTTATGCATTTTTTAGATTTTTTGGTTACAGTATGAACTATTTATGAGAACCTTTGTTTTAAATTTGCAATCCTTAGCTATAAAAACTGAACATTTTATAATTTATTAATTACAATGATTGATAATTTTCAAGATTTTGATAAATTGTCAAAATTCGATCTTTAAATGCTTATAAAAAAAAATTGTGCCTATGTATTTTTAATATTTTTCAATTGCTATTGTAACAATATATCAGGGGCCTTGCATTAAATTTTTATACTTTTTGGATTAACAGATAAAACTTTATTGATATTTATAGAAAAAAAACTAAAAAAAAAGGTGGGTAAGTGGATGTCGCTCTGCTGTACAGTAGGTTACAAGTGGGTCACTGTATAATGGATGGTATTAAATTTGAATTCAATGATACAATATCATTGTATAAGAAAAACGATTCTGAGCGAATACGGTATATCAGTCTAGGTTTAAGACATATTATATACATATCTATGGTATTAAAAAAAAAATTGACCTATAATAAATTCCAAATTAATCATATCACAATATCCACTAGGTACTTATAACACGTTATACAACAATAACAAACCCTGATACTATCATTGATATATAATATAGTGTACTTTAGAAGTTTCAAGTACCCACGAATAGTATTATACACTCACAACAAAATGACTAAAATAGGTATGCTAGGTTTTTTAATATGTAATTTCGTCCCAAATTTGAACTTAAAATGTCTGTAAAAAATAACTGTGCTCATATATTTTTTAGATTTTTGGCTACAGTATGAACTATTTATGAGAATCTTTTTTTTAAATTTTCAATCTTTAGCTATAAAAACTGAACATTTTATAATTTATTAATTACGATGGTTGATAATTTTCGAGATTTTGATAAATTTTGTCAAAATGCGATCTTTAAATGCTTATAAAAAAAAACTGTGCCTATGTATTTTTAATATTTTTCAATTGCTATTGTAACAATATATCAGGAGCCTTGTATTAATTTTTCACACTTTTTGGCCCAACAGATAAAACTTTATTAATATTTATAGAAAAAAAAACTAAAAAATTGAAAACTGAAAATGTCCGTAAACGGCTCAAAAAGAGTTAAAATATTTTCAAAATTGTATGGTCTATAGGAAATGCTAATATAAACATTCAGTGAAATTTTCATGTATATACAGTAATTCGTTTTTGAATTACAACAAAATAAGGAAATCGCCACATGAGAAATCGAGTGAATATCCAATGTTGTAAAAATTTGAATTTCAAACGCTCATAAAAATTTAATTTGACTTTCTTATAGAATTTTTTTTTTGATAAATGTAGGAAATCTTATAAGGAATCTTGTATTACATTTTTATATCTTAGATTTAAAAAGAAAAATTTTTAGTAATTCTTAACTCAAAATAATTTGCAAATGTTCGTGATTTTTCCATATTTTGTCATTTTTTGAACTTTAAATGCATGAAAAAAAAAACTGTGACTAACGATTTTTAATAATTTTCATCTGTCTTTGAAACAATATAGTAGGAGCCTTGTATTAAATTTTCAAGTATTTTTACTCAACAAATAAATTTTTATTGATATTCATAAAAAAAAAAACTAATAAAATTGGAAACTGAAAATGTCCCTAAACAGTTCAAAATAAATCAAAATATTTTGAAAATGTAATCGTGTATAGAAAATGCAAATATAAACAACCACTGAAAATTTCATGTATCTACGGTTATTTGTTTTAAAGTTACACCAAAAACCAAAATCAATTTTTTGGAAAACCGATTTTGCGTAAAAATTCCCGTTTTTCCTTAATTTTTATTTTGTTTTTCCCGGCGCTTTTGAAAACTACTGTGAAATTTAAATTTTGACCTCCCCAATGCACCAACGATATTCACTTTCCAATCGAACAAGATACTGAAGTTGAAAATCGAAGCATTATTTCGACTACTTATCGTGTACACAGACACAAAAAAAATAAATAAAAAATTTAAAAAAATTTAAAAAAACACACATCATTGTAAAATCAATACATTCATCGTTTCACTCAGAATCTAAAATTGAAAACTGAAAATGTCCGTAAACAGCTCAAAAAGAGTCAAAATATTTTCATAACTGTACAGTGTATAGGAAATGCTAATATGAACATTCAGTGGAATTTTCTTGTATCTGCAGTTATTCGTTTTTGAATTACAACAAAATAAGGAAATCGCTACATGAGAAATCGAGTCAATATCCAATGTTGTAAAAATTTGAATTTCAAACGCTCATAAAAATTTAATTTGAAATTCCGGTAGAGACTTTTTTTTGATAAAGGTTGACAAACTTATGAGTAATCTTGTATTATATTTTCAAATCTCAGATTTAAAAAGAAAAATTTTTAGTAATTCTTAACTCAAAATAATTTGCTAGTTTTCGTGATTTTTCCATATTTTGCCAATTTTTGAACTTTAAATGCTTATAAAAAGAAACTGTGACTAAGGATTTTTAATATTTTTCATCTGCCTTCGTAACAATATACTAAGAGCCTTCTATTAAATTGTCAAGCTTTTGAAACCAACAAATAAAATTTTATTGATATTTTTAGAATAAAAACTAAAAAAAAATGGAAAATGAAAATGTCCCTAAACAGTTCACAGTTCAAAACAAATCATAATATTTTAAAAATTTTATCGTGTATAGAAAATGCAAATATAAACAACCAGTGAAAATTTCATGTATATACGTTCATTTGTTTTAGAGTTACACCAAAAACCAAAATCGAATTTTTGGAAAACCGATTTTGCGTAAAAATTCCAGTTTTTCCTTAATTTTTATATTGTTTTTCCTGGCGCTCGTGAAAACTATTGGGAATTTTAAATTTGGACCTCCCAAATGCACCAACTAGATTCACTTTCCAATCGAACAAGATACTGAAGTTGAAAATCGAAGCATTATTTCGACTACTTATCGTGTACGCAGACACAAAAATAAAAAAATAAAAAAAAATATAAAAACACACATCATTGTAAAATCAATACATTCATCGTTCCACTCAGAATCTAAAACAAATCTATGGCCAAATCTGGCAAATCTAAACGCCGGGAGGGAACGCTAGTAATTAGTATAGTAAAAAATATAATAATATACCTAATACCCAATCGATATTCAACACTTATGAGTTAAGGATATTATCTCTAAATTCTCTATAGTAAATAACAATAATTATTATTAACGTGTAATGAGTAATGACCATATTATACTTTCTGAAGTATGATAAGAACAGATAATTCACATAAATGCATATTTTAATTTTAAACTAATTTAAATATACATATTTTGTTATATCATACCAAGGGTACACCGATTGACACTGGATTGTTAGAGCAACTATTTAATGCTTCCATAATTAGATAATTTATTGATTGTAATACATCTAATGTAATTTGATTTTTAAATAAAATATCTGAAATTATAAATTATTTATGCATTAATGAAACGACAAAATTATAATTATAATCATACCTGCTGATAACCAATTTAACTATACTTACTTTCATTTGTTAAATGAACAAACATTATAGATTCTAAATCAAAATATTGACGGTCATTAATATATTTTGTTAAACCACTAGTATAGTTTTTGGGAAAATATAGAAATGCAATATATTCTATATGATTCATACCAACTTCAGCAACTTCCCGATCTTGTACTTCGACCTGTAATTTTAATTAATAAATTAGAAATAAAATATCCTCAATTTTGACACAATTTTTTATATTTTACTCACTAATTCATAATCATGTGATGAGAGGTAGTTCATGATAACACAGCTCATTGTTTGATTGCTATTTTCGTCAAAAATACACCCATTAACGTTTGAATATTGACAATCTAAAATATTAATCTCGTCGTTTTTATAAGCTATTTTCATACCTTTGAACGGTACTCCAATCGCAAAACAAAAATTGAATGTTTGTAATATGGGAAGTAAGATCAAAGTAAATAACAACCTATATTGTACAGCACTAGTTAGTAACATCTAGCAAACCACAATATTAGAATAATATCAAAGTTATACTTACAAATAATCTCGAGAGAATACACGGTAATTTTTTTTTAACAATGCTTTAATTCTATACAAATCGAAGTTTCCCGATTCCAGTATTTTTTTTTGTGAAACTTTTTCTTTTACTTGAACAGTGTTGTCGACTTTCTAAATAGATAAAATTATGAAAATAACCGGTCGACTATAAGGCAGTTTTTTAATTAATTTTAGTTTGAAACCAATTATAAATCATTACACGAAACACACACGATCATAATACAGCAAAGCATATATAATAGTATTATATTATTGTCATATAATAGCAAGGTTTTGGAATATTTATAATTTTTTTGAACTTTATTGTATTTTGAGACATATTATAACCATATTGCGTCGGTCAAACTTCCTATGAACTCTGAAGGAATTTTGTTTCCTTTGATGAACTCCCACATAGGTACTTATGGAATGTCACTTTCCTGCCGGTTCTTACACAATGTAATATTAATAGTGAAAAAATGTCATTGTATTTGATCCTGACCTAAGTGTAAAAACATATTATGTACAACTACTTTTTATACAGACATCACTAGATAGAAAGTTTGACCTTCGTCTCAATAATATACGGTCATCAGATGGTAGTGAACTAGTGTGGAATATATTTTGTGTAACGACGATATATTATTATAATAATATTATGCGACATCGTTTCCATACCAATATAGCAATATAAATGATTTTATTATCCTTGTTGACATTGTTTCTATGGTAATAATTAATTTATGTATCTGTATTCTGTATGTATAAAATTAGATATCTAAACTGATTAATCAACGATTTTTATTTATTCAGCTTATGCATCACAAATGCAAAGTATTCAAATTTTGAATTGTATACTCTATAATTTTTAAACGTACACGATTAAATATAATATTGCATGAAATACGCACTGATACATTTGGCTGTTTGTCTATTTATCTTATTGTCCTGGAAAGATGTACCGATTTTTACAAGGTTTTCACAGGTATTAAACCACATAACGGAAAAACGGAATACGATAGATAAATAGATCAATTTTAATCCAACAGAGTCAGATAATACAGCTAGTTGCTATGTAATTAGATAAATAGTGAAGAATTAATAAACCAAAGATTTCCATCACAAATATCTAAACCATATAATAGTTATAAGAAATTATAAATTGTAAATTATTAGAAAATAGAGGTGTTTAGATTGAGCTAGTGTACTATTTTTCTTTTATACCTACATTGTACTAATGGAGTGGGGTATTCATTTATCACAACATCACTTTTTTTGAAGTTATACTTCTTTACGCAGGGTAGTGAGGAAAAAAAAGCGAACGGGCGGCCGTACGAACGCGAAAGCGTACATGTCCGTAAATAAATAAATATTGTCATGGTAGTGTTGTTATATTATATATTATAATTTATATATTATATTATATATTATTGCAACTGAATAATGATCCAACAATATCGACTACTAAATCAGGCACAACAATCGATGCAATTTTTACGCGATATATGGATAATGTTCAGTCACAAATGTACGTTTTGTATTTCAGTCATCATATGCCAATCATAACTACTATACCGATTGAGCAAAATGATAATCAATCATTAGCATAAAAAATAATAATTAAAAAAAAAAATATAAAAAATATAATTTACATTGTTTCTTTTATTTCTTTATTATCCTCATTACCCAGTCTATCCATGCCTTTCTTTCTTTTCACTCACTCACGTGTACCATTCAAAAGAAGTTTAACTTCCCGCGCGCATACTGATAACACACACACTTTTTTTTTATTCGTAGGTACACAAGTGGATATTAACGAAATTGTCAATCGTTGATTATAAGTTTTAAAATGTTACGTATGTATGTGATGATAATATTATATTACCTAGGAACCCTCACAAAGTACAATATTAAGTTACGCGCACATGAACGTCTTGTAACTATGCAATACGCATACATAAATAATATATTTATATTTAAATATGTCAAGGTATAGTACTTTAATAATTGTTCTTTGATTACAGCAAAGAGTTAAAAAAGCTGACTCCAATGTATCTGTACCATATTTGATAAGGATATCTTGAGGTGGTCCTTCTTCAATTATTAAACCATTCCTCATTAAGCCGACCTATGAACATAATATTTTATTAAAATTCGTTATAAAAACTCTATAATATTATGCTGTTGGATAATAATGTATAATATTATTAAATTATAAAAAAAATTTAAAAATTATACAAAATCAAAAATACATCTATAAAATTATGTAAATGTATTTATTTTGTGCCATATGAATTATGTTAATTACCATAAATATTTGATACATATTATTATTATGATACATTCAAATATAATTAACTAATCTCGTCTAATCATGGATAAATACATAATTAAAATTCGTTTAAGTAAATAAACGTTACCCATACGTAACATACTTCGTATAGTTTTTATATACATATAATATATTACATAATTATAACTATATAAGTTTATTGACTTACGCAATCAGATTTATTTGCTTCTTCGATATAATGAGTAGTTATTATGATTGTTTTTTTTTGTTCTTTGGCCATTTTTGTAAGCTCAGCCCAAATTCTAAATTATTTTTATACAGTTAAAAATTATATTTAACTTAATTATAATAATTCGTGTTACCCTTCTCTCAGTAAAGGGTCAATTCCAACAGTAGGTTCATCCAAAATCATAACTTTGGGGTCATGTAATAAGCTAATACCAAAAGATACTTTTCTACTCTGGCCACCACTAATGTAAATAAAAATAAATAATGGTTATTAGTTTATTACAAATATTTATTTAATAGACTAAATTAATATTAATATCTTTATGTTATTATGATGATTCTTTCGACATAACCTAAACATCAATATTGAAATAGCATTAGTAACTTAATGTTATTAAAGTTATAATTTGATTTATTAAAATCCAAGACTTTCAAGAAATATGGTGTTCAGAGCTGTAGCTAGGGCTTGGCGAGACTGGCCCAGGCCAGGGGCGCAACGAAAAAGGGGCGCGAAATCCAGAATAAAATATACCATACAATATATATATATATACATATGTTATTATTATTTATTGGTATTCTTAATAATTTACATTTTACTAGAATATGCACAAAATAGTTTTATTACTATATGTACATTATACTATTATAGTGATTAGTGACTATATACCTACTATTTTATAGTGTAGCCGTGTAGGTATTGTATATTATACAAATATTACAATTATTATTTACAGGTGTTTAAGAATAATAACTCATTAAAATATTACGTAATATTAGGCCCGGGTACCCGAGTGATATTTTAAGAACAGTTAGTAGCCGATAATAGTGTGTTTTTATTTGTGTTGATAGTTGTTTAAAACTTTAAACTGCTGCTTATACAACCATCTCGGCACGCAAGTCAATTATCAACATGGTAGTTTTGAAAATCGATCATTATTATTAAATATTAGCTGCATGTAGTTAAAATTAGGATTCTAAATTTATTATATTTTAAAGACTCCCTTAGTCCCGTCAGTCGTCATATTTATAGGTAGGTAGATCCTCCTATTTCAATATTTAGTCATTTTAGATTAGTCAGTGAAAGGAAGAACTTCCATAACAGTTCTACGGTGAATTCCTAATTATTATTAATTATAATTATACAAAATTAAATTAATTTACTTAATTGTAGTTCATAATATATTAATATAGGTAAGTATTAAGTTGTAACCTAGGTTTATACAAAATAATTGTTTATAAGAATGTAAATAGTAAATATCTAGTAGGTATACTGGTATACAAGAAGTCACTATTAACATTCGTTGGTTTTTATCGATCAAATTTGAATTTAAGTAATACATTAAGATAGTTTGTTCACCGTTCACCTATTTAAAAAAATAATACGTTTATTCAATTAATTGATTAATTATTTTAAAATCCTCTAAATCTTATTTGGAGTTAAGAAAAAGAAATAATAATTAATATTAGTCTAATATTGTCTTAAAAATTATCTTCACAGTTCACACCAAGTATCTATTTTATTTTATTTGTTTTAATCCTACGGACTATTTTTGATAATCTAAGGTTAGATATTTATCATTATTATTATAGAGTAATTTGGACAACTAGCTTGATAGTGATATCGATAAAAAATATCTTTAATTCAGTTAATGATTAAACCATAAATTTAATGAGTCTGAGAAATTTTATTTCCTTATTGAAAATATAAATTTATTTCTTAAATGATATTTAAAAGATTTTATTTTAAATTATATCTGGACGTTACCAATCCTTTTTGTGTCGGTTCAACTTACGAGCGACATAGCAATATATTCGTTTCACTAGTTACAATAGTGTGCTGTGAGTTTTTATATTTAGAGTGTTTTGACCTATTATTAAACTTTTAGTTAAGAACATTATCTATGCTTAAGCGTCTGATTTTATTCCATATTTTAATTTTCAAGCGGGATAAGAGCATTTTTAATTTGTGATATTTTATATTTTTATATCTTGCTTGGAAATTTAAATATCGAATAAAAGTCGACGCTTAAGCACAGCTAATGTTCTAAACTAAAAGTTTAATAATAGGTCCATAGTTAATATTAATAATTGACCATCACCATTGATATAAAAACTAACAGCACATTATTGAAACTAGTGAACGAAAATTTGCTATGTCGTAGGTTTGTAATACGGAGACAACAAACGCATGTGTAGTATACGTACTACTGTACTAGTATACTCTTAATAAAAAAAAAATATAAACCTTCTAAAGTGGAGTTTAATTATATACTACCAAAAAAGCACGAAAAGTGAAATTTTGAAATGTAAAAAATAATTTTTTTTTTGATTATTTTATAAGGTTTTAATAAGTTTGGCAGTGTTTACTATTGTTTTTTTTTATTAATATTATAATTTTTACTATTTTAAAAATAAAATAGCGAATGCATAAGTCTTTTATATGTGTGTGTGAGGGGGGGGGGGGGGTTAAAAAAATTTATAAGGGCGGAAATATGATAAATGGCCAGGAGCGCTAATAAACATTGCTACGGCTCTGATGGTGTTATAAAACTCTAAATCAATTAAGGACGACTACCATTCCTTGATCTATGTACAATTAATTTCGTATAGGTAGTACAGCTATAGACTATAGTCATTCGATTTATAACTTATAGAAAGTTATTTTAATTTTGCCTTTTAATAAAATGTTGCAATTACAATCTTCGATGACACACGTACGATATAGACAAAACGCGTATACGCAGTCTGAGTAGAACTACCTATTATAAAATTGTATTGTGACAATATTTTTGAGGGCAAGTCGTTGCATTTTTTCCATTATACTCAATATACCGTTTAGAAATAGCAAACATTTCAATATTTTTAAAATGCCTTAAACTTTTCAAAATCTTAATTTTATTAAATAAACTCCTACCATCTTGCCCTCTAAATTATTGTCATATTTTAATTTTGTAATAGATACTTTTATTCCAACACCAAAATTGAGTGAGTTTTACTCAGACTGCTTAAATGCATAAATGCATAATGAATTAATATTTCAGTATTGATTTACAGTCTACGGACTGATTAGTGATTTTTCAAGATATAATACTACATAGTCCGCAGTTTTTTATTTTTTTAATCAAAGATATTTTACCTTATTTCATTAAGGTAACTATTTAAATCTGGAAACTTTAGGAATTCATTAAGCTCATTTAATTTGTTTTTAATATTTATCTTGCTCATTCTATAAAGTGATCCATAGTATTCAAAGGTTTTCCTTTATGGTTAGCGGGACTTCTAGACATAATCCTTCAAAAAGTAAAAGTGTTATATTATCATTGTATATTAAAGTAGTTTAAATATTTACCCTAGGCATATATCCACTTCGTTACACTTTTGCTTGTAAATCAATACACCATAATCAATGGCAATGCTCCCAAAATACATTGAAGAAGTGTCGTTTTACCACAGCCACTTGGTCCTAAAGACCATAGCTGTAAAAATAAAAAATTTAAATGTACCTAATTACTAACAGGATAGATAGTGTTGTGGTTGATGACACCACATTAGAAGCAGAATATAGGCAAATCATAATAATATTGTCTGTTGATATTATATTTAATAAAAGTCCTTTGCAATTAATAAAAAATTACTACTCAATTACCATAAAAATACTATGCCTTGCATCAGATTATTCAGTATTTGAATGTTAATATAAAAAATATATAAAATATTATTTTTAGATTTCATTAAGTGTTTTTGTAGTATTGAGTATTAAAACATACTATTTTAATGCAAGGTCACTCATATAATATTCATCATTATATTTCGTGAATGTTAAAAATCTTTAATATATTAATTATTTTATGAATATTTTTAAATAAAAATGTTTGCACAACAAGCAATATAGTAAACATTAATATCTTGATTCAGAGTTACTATTTGAAATTATCCGATAGTTCACAAATAGTATTTAGAGAAATTTATAAAAAAATACATCATTGTACATTCAATAAAGGTACTTATGTTATTAATTTCGTCCAGTACCTTTATAACTACCTAATAATTTATAATACATTACTAGTATACGCTGAAGTGTTAGGAATACGATACGTGTGAGCCATTGTACGTGAATTATCTTCAAATTTTTAATTCGGCATTGTATTGGTATATAGTTTAGTAAATTTGTTATTTTTTATATAATTGTTTAGTGTTGTGACATCAAGGATACGAGATTTGTTTATGTTTGTTGTTATACTTATTATATTTTATCGAGTTGATATTAAAAACGGATTTATTGTTATTAGCCTTTGAATTTTCGTCAATTTTAAACAGACAATTCAGTGGCGGACCCTGGGTCCGGACCCCCCCCCCCATCCTTGGCTTATGTCATGGTTTTATTTTTATTTTTAAAAGTTTCCCTGAAATATTCATCGAAACTTATTGATTAGATTAATTATTACTTATTCGGTTTTGAAATTTTTCATTTGTTGATAACACGTTTAAATCTAATGTTATAGTCTTATAGATAATATCAACGGCCAATAATATCAATAACCACGGACCAAGATATCTTAGTCAGTGTCAAAAACATACTATATAATATCCTATATGTATACTAAATTTAAAAATTTAAATAATATAATTGTGTTTTTTTTTCTATTGGCCTTAAATCCGGCAAATTGCATTTATTAAGAAATACAATGTATGTATATACTCAGGAAAAGAACAGAAAAACAGTAGTTAAATAAATTTTTTTGGACCCCCCCTTGAATAAATGCTGGTTGCACCACTGACAGACATTTAAACATATTTTTTATTTAAAAATAACTATGTATTTCCATATTTAATTATGGAAACAATAATAGTAAATATAAATAATTTAGATTCACGAGAGAATAAGATAATATCTTACCATCAACCTGATCAATAATATTTAGGCTATAATAATGAATCGTAATTAGATATAATAATTTTTCATTATACTAAATATATTCAAACTAAAGTGTTTAAGATACATACAAGCTTAATTTGTAATCAACATTTATTTAGTAAAATTAAATTATAAAAATGTGGTAAGTGGGAGGTCACTCGGCTGTACAGTAGGTTACAAATGAGTTAATGTATAAAGGATTGTATTAAACTTGAATTCAATGAATAATATCATTGTTATAGAAAAACTATTCTGAGCGGAGACGGTTTGTCAGTCTGATATATGTTATTATTTATTAATTATTATAATGTAAGTTGAATTTATATTATATAATAGGTATTATTATTTTTTATTCGTTTTTATAGTGAAAAACACAGAGTTAGAAATTAAAATCCCATCTTTAGCGGTTTTTCGTAATTTACCGGTGGTTTTTCCTGTGGCATTAAATAACTATTGAGAAATACGAAATATGATTTTAAAATCCTATAGGTAGTATACATTTCATATATTTATAACACTGAGCATGACAATTTTATTAATAATATTATATATATCATTTTAAATTATTTATTTTATTTATATTATTTTTAAATGTAAAAGAAAAGTATATTTTCAATCGTTATAAAAATTAAATTACTTACATAGAACCGGATTTCACAGACATGTTCAAACCGTCAAATACATTATTTTGTCCATACTTCTTAAAAGCGTTTGTCACTTTTATGTCGTATTTAATTGTTTCATCCTCCATAATTTGTTCCATTTTATTTATATTATTGTCTATTGAATATCAATACAAGTATTGATTTTTGGCTAGATAACATTCGTTAACATTTTCACTGGGCAATAAATCTAAAATTAAATAGGTAATGAATTACAATTTGAGAAACCTATACTGACTAGTATAACTATGAACTGTTAAAAAATTTAACGATATTTGAAATACGAACAGTCCAAATATTAATGAACTGCTAAGTAAAAGTAAACACATTTCTAAGAATACGTAGCACATATTAAAAAAAATATAAATAGTATAATTCTTAAATCGTGATTCGAGTGACGGTGCCTGGAGTAGGTTTCTTGGTGTCCTTGATCGTTTACTTACAGAGCCATTGTGATGGCTGATGGGTGGGGGATCGGGTGAATACCTAATAAAATTCTTTTTTAATTTTTCCAATTGTTTTTACTTTTTTTTTTTTATAATGATAGTTATTAAAAACTCTGAATTGAAATAACCACGTAGTGTAATATAATAATTATTAGTGCAGGAAAAAAACAAGGAACTTTAATTTTTAAACGATTATATCTGTAATTTTTTAATTGTTTTAATGTTGTATAATAAAAAAATTATAAATATTACCAAAAATCAACACATGTTTTAGGATAACCACTGAGGTCTTAGATAATTCTTACGGTCAGAGTAGGTAAACTAAAAGAAATCGTCAGTCATATATTATACTGCGTATACATTTCACCACTGGATATTTAAAAAAAAAAACATGGAGAGTGATACATATTGTATTAGCTTACAAGTCAGAGGACAAAACGCTGATCAATTACACAAGAAAAAAATTAAAGAATTGCAATCAAAAAGTTCGTTTCTACTTAGTTTGATAATTCATACACATTTTTACCAATTACTCAATAACTAAATGTTAATAATACATATTTAATCATAAAAAACCCAAATAGCAAAACCAATACTTTTAAGTTTTAACCACACCAATATTAATTCAATTATGTTTTCAGTCATTAAAGTCTGAAAAATATAAAGAAAATAATTTTTCAATATTATCCTAGGACGTTATTTTCATATGAATATGTATTAGATATGTAATCAGCAATTTAGATGTTTACAAAATAAACTTGGGCCAAAATGTAAGTACAAAATAAAGTATAAACCCAGTCCGCAATTCATATAATAAATTAAAAATGGGACGCAATTTACACCAATCCCTTTTGGCGACACTTATTTTTTTTTTTTTTTTTTTTTATTGAACATAAAAACATCGGCTACTAGGCCATTAGTTATTGAGATCCATTTTTTTTTAATGGTTTACATTAGGTTAATGCTTAAATTAGATTATATAATTTTATTTCTTTTAGGAAGTTGATTATGTTTATGTTTGATTGGAGATCAGGCTGAAGGGATTCACTTAATTGCTGTGGTATGTGATGCTTGGATCTTTCGTCTGCACTTATTATTTTATTTTAAATACCTATATAGTATATTTAATATTTGTTTTTTCGGTCTTATTTCGACCACAGTTCCTGTAATTACAGTTATTAATAGTACCAAAAATCATAGTTAGAATAATAATTATCTTTATTACTATCTATAAAATATAAACAGTGATAGAAATAATAGTACCTACTTAAGAGGACGCCACACCCACATGTGTTGTCTCCGTCTTACAAATGTACAACATAGCAAAAACTCTTTTGTGAGGGACAACTGTTCTCGCACCATATTTATTGTAGAACTACCAAATTTTCACAGCACTTAAAGAAGAACTTTATCTGTGCAACAGCGTGCTCTTTTTTTCAATAGCACCATCCAATCATTTTTTATAAGCAAATGAAAAAACAAAATGTTTAGAAGCAAATAACTTGTATTGTGTTTACGTTATTTAAAATATGGGAACGCTGTTTAACAGATAATGTTCTACTTTACGTGTTGTGAAAATTTGGTAGTTCTACAACAAATATGGTGCGATAACAGTTGTCCCACGCAAAACAGTTTTTGATATGTTGTACATTTGTAAGACGGAGACAACACATGCGGGTGTGGCGTCCTTAATATTTATCTGTATGACTACTATGACTCTATGACTGTATCTATAAAATCCTTAATAATATAGCTGATGAACACTATAATTTTAATAATTCTTTCACGCCTCCTCACGTAATCGTTTCTTCATCTATTACTATTATTAATAACATATTTACGTTTATTAATTATTATAAATGACGGAAATCTGGTCGGATTTTTTAGTCGGGCTACCGAGAAAATCTCGGTGGGCCGCTTAAAGTTTGGGCCGGTCGTGTGAGTGTGAGTGAAAATAAATTCATGTTTAAAATACGATTGGCCACCTATAAGCAAAGGTGGACAAGTTAATGAAAATAATTAACTCAAGTTAAGTTAAGTTAAGAGGATACAAGATCGATAAGTTAAAAGTTAACAATTAACAAATTATATCTAAATTTAACTCGATAAGTTAAAAGTTAATATAGAAAAAAATATTAACTTAACTCAGTTTAAAAAAGGTGCTCTGCTGTACAGTAGGTTACAAGTAGGTCACTGTATAATGGATGGTATTAAATTTGAATTCAATGATATAATATCATTGTATAAGAAAAACGATTCTGAGCGGAGACGGTATGTCAGTCTAGGTATAAGACATAATATTTACATATCTATGGTATCAAAAAATAATTGACCTATAATAGGTACCTACCTATTATAAATTCAAAATTAATCATATCACAAGATCCAATATATCAGGAGCCTTGTATTAAATTTTTACATTGTTTGGATTAACAGATAAAACTTTATTGATATTTATAGAAAAAAAAAACTAAAAAAATTTAAAACTGTAAATGTCCGTAAACAGCTCAAAAAGAGTCAAAATATTTTTAAAATTGTATGTTGTAAAAAGTTGAATTTCAAACGCTCATAAAAATTTAATTTGAAATTCCGGTAGAGATTTTTTTTTGATAAAGGTTGACAAACTTATGAGTAATCTTGTATTATATTTTCAAATCTCAGATTTAAAAAGAAAAATTTTCATGAGTTCTTAACTCAAAATAATTTGCTAATTTTCGTGATTTTTCCATATTTTTTACAATTTTTGAACTTTAAATGCTTATAAAAAAAAACTGTGACTAAGGATTTTTAATATTTTTCATCTGCCTTCGTAACAATATACTAAGAGCCTTCTATTAAATTGTCAAGCTTTTGAAACCAACAAATAAAATTTTATTGATATTTTTAGAATAAAAACTAAAAAAAAATGGAAAATGAAAATGTTCCTAAACATTTCAAAACAAATCATAATATTTTGAAAATTTGATCGTGTATATAAAATGCAAATATAAACAACCAGTGACAAATTCATGTATATACGTTTATTTGTTTTAGAGTTACACCAAAAACCAAAATCGATTTTTTAGAAAACCGAAGCAGTTTTACTGTCCCGAACCGTGATGACAGACACAAAAAAAAATTAAAAAATTAAAAAAAAACACACATCGTTGTAAAATCAATACATTCATCGTTCCACTCAGAATCTAAAAGTTAATCTATTTTTTTTTAAATTATTATGGAAATCACATAAAGAGTGAATATGTCTTTCTAGTTTCTAATTTATAAATTATCAAAAACAATTTTATTGAACTTTTATCATAATGTACACTGTATACCATTTTACTTTACTATTATTTATTAACTTAAACTATAATCATCTCAATTTATTAATTGAACTAATATATTTGTTATATCTTAGAGCAATTGAATACCATAATAAGTGAAGATATGGTACATGACCTTCATAAATATAATTATAAGTTATTTAACATTAAAACATAACAATTGTGAATTTGTAGTTTAAAATTATTAATTTAATTAAAAACATTTATAATTGCAACTCGCATAATATATAATTTACAACTTCATAAAATATATTAATATACACAAAATTATGTTATCAAGAAAAATAACAGAAATGTTTGTGTTTTTGTATTGGATTATTTTTATTTTATACTGATATAGTAATATTTACGTATAAACGAAAAATTTTAAAATGTTTTGAACATGATGGATTTTTATAGAATCAACTGAGAAAAGCTAAGTTATTTCAACTGTAAATTAAACTAGTTAAGAAGAAACTAGTTAAGAAAATAAATTAACTAGTTAAGTTAAAAATTTAAAAAATAATTATAGACGTAATTTTGGGCCACTGAATATGTAAATGGGCCGCTTAAAGAAGTAAAAATCTCGATGGGCCGATACATACCAATCCAGACCTGGACGGAAATCAAAATACAATTCAAATAATATAAATTAATATACCTAATTAAAACATAATAGTTGTATAATAAAAGGATAAGATAAATTATTATAAACTCAAATAATATAAAAATAAACAATGCAAAAGCAATTTATTATTCTGATTCCTAGTAATGAGATTATCACATAGTAGGTAATATTGTTTTTGTTAAAAATAAATCTTATATATAGCCTATTAATTTGTAAACACGCCATCTAAAAATTATGTTACTCATACAATGCTATTGAGTAGCTTTAATATGTCCTTCAATATATCTACCGGTATCGGGGATTTGTATATTTATTTTGACGGTCTCATTACAACTATGTTCGTTTGAATACAATTATTTTAACATAGTTATTGATCAATCATTATGAATAACAATAATCATAATTACAAAAAAAAAAAATTAATTAATGTATTATTATTTTGTACTAAGGTTTACCATAGTATTATACCTAAGCCACAAAGCAACAGGTTAAATTATAGACTACTGTTTGCTATAACCACGTCTTAACATCTAATTTGTTTAAAATATATTGAATTATTTTCTAACAAATATTTAAATTTGTAACATCAACAATATATATAAAAAATCGTTCACTATGAAATAATTTAAATACTAAAATGTGAATAAACTGAATTAAAAAACTCGATTTAAGTGCGACAATCAAATTTTTAGCTTGTGATATTTTTAGGCAAAACACTTAGGCGG